GTGTGGGCTGGTGAGCCTCCAGCCGCTGCCTTTCCAAGGAACGATAACGCCTCTGCGAAGCCACGCTGCTCTGGGTCTGTCCTACAGCCTCTTAGGTATTTGGCTGCACTTTGGGTGAGATCCCTCCTACAGCCTCTTCTGAGTAAAGAGACTATTTTTGGCTTTCCAGCAAGGAAGCCACGCTCAGCCTGGCAGAGTTTTGGAGACAACCCCTTTTCCTTTGGGCTCCCTGCAGGATCCCCAGCCACATCCAGTGCGGGCAGGGATTTGCTGCCTTGCCTTCCCATGCCCAACTGCTCCTTGAGCCCTGCCCTGCTGCTGGTGCCCAGTGTGAGGGGGTCTCGGGGCGGGGTGAGCCCCACAGCCCCCTGAGCAGGCAGAGCCAGGCAGTGCTGCCAGCCTTGCCCGCTCGGGGCTGCCACAGCCCTGCCGTGGCATGAGCCCAAGCTATTTCAGGCAGCCTGAGTTTGCCATGCCAGGAGCAGCTCAGGAGCGCCCAGCCGCCTTCCTGGGGTAACTGGAGATGCCTGCACTCCCGCAGGTTAAGGGCAGGGCTGGGGGTTGAGTTGCTTACTCCTGCTGGAGGGGAGTTGGGGGGGGTCATCTCCCCCAGAGCAAGAAGGGGAGACCCCTCCAGCGTGCCTGCCAGGGGCCAGTGGGCTCCCGAGCTGCTCCTGCCTTGGGGACCCCACACAGGGTGCTGGGTCCCAGCCTGCAGGGACCCTTGCCAGCCCAGCTCGGGGGCAGGCAAGAGGGGCAAGGGCACTGCCCTGCCAAACCACATCCCTGCCCCTCCTCTGTCAGTGCCCTGGGCTACCCTGAGCTTTCCTGGCTCCCAGCCTCTCTGCAGCGGGTGCCTGACAGCCCTGCTCAGTAGGAGGAGGTGGCCGGAGCCCGCACGGAGCGCAGAGGTGGGCTCCCAACCTCCCTCCAGCCCCGACTCACCCCGGCTCTGGGATTCCTCAGGGCTCTGTCAGACCCCAATAAAGTCGTACAAGTTCTCATGACCCCACGGCCTTACAGCAGCGGTAAACACGGGTGCCGGGGCTGCCTGGACACAGAGCAGACATTGCCTCTGGTGAGCCCTGGGAAACCCTCTTCTGACCCACGTTGCTGCCTGGGTTAAAATGCTGTGAGACAACCCCTGGCTGGGCTGCTCCCAGCCTGCCTGGCTCCAGCTGAGCATTGCAGCGGTGCAGGGAGGCAGGAAATATAGCCTGAAAGGTAAAGCCAAAGCTGAAAACCTGCTTTCTTGGCTGCTTTCTTGGCTTCCAGAGGAAGCAATCCCCAGGGCTGGGCTGGGACTGCTCTCAGCACGTCTGGTTTGGTGGGGAGATATTGGTAATACCCATACTTAGCACAGTGTTATGTATCAAAGTCCCCCGACAAGGGGCTGCAAAGCGGCCCTGGGAAGATGCTGCCTGGCTGGAGCTGGGGTGCGGGCAGCTGGCGTGTTGCACAGGGGAGATGGCAGCTCCTGGGCTGGATGGGGGTGGCACAGGGATGGCAGCAGGAGTCACTCTCCCATGGACACTCGGGTAGGACAGTGGGGACAGCTCAGGTGCATCATGACACTAGAGCCTGCCCTGGGATCAGTCTCAAAAGCAGATGAAGCAAGGGCTGTTCCAGGAGATGGAGGGCTCCAGCCCTAATCCCCTCAGCCCAGCAGGCCTGCAGGTACGGCACTGCCGGCGGTGCTAGCCCTGGAGAAAGCCTGCAATCTCCCATGGACACTCGGGTAGGACAGTGGGGACAGCTCAGGTGCATCATGACACTAGAGCCTGCCCTGGGATCAGTCTCAAAAGCAGATGAAGCAAGGGCTGTTCCAGGAGATGGAGGGCTCCAGCCCTAATCCCCTCAGCCCAGCAGGCCTGCAGGTACGGCACTGCCGGCGGTGCTAGCCCTGGAGAAAGCCTGCAATCCCCCCTGCACTTAGGGCACGGGGGCTGCAATAAGAGCCTCAGGCACAGAAGGGGGCTGACATAAGAGCCTCTGGCAGGGCACAGACTGTGCCTGGCACGGCTAGGTGGGTGCCAGGAGAAATGCAAACCCAAGCAGCCTTCTCCTCTGTCACCGGCACCTTTGGGTGCCCATTAGACCTGGGCAGGATGTCACCCGGAGCATTGCCAAGGGCTATAAAAAGGGGAGGGAGCAGGGAATTGGGCCAAAATTGGGCCGTGCCTTCGGCAGGGACACAGCTCCCTCTGGTGAGGACACAGCTGTAATGGGCACCAGGTGCTGGACTCCACAAACATCAAAAATGTCCTTG